ATAGATAGATAGATAGATAGATAGATAGATAGATAGATAGATAGATAGATAGATAGATAATTATATTTGCCTACACTTACTGTTTCAGTAGTTTTTTTACAGGGATTTGGGGATTATTCATGTTATATATTACCATATGAGAAGAAATTCTGCTAACTGACACTTAGTAGTTGATGTCTCAGTTATGTCAGAGCTCACTTGTCCTGATACAAGATGAGTACAAATGCCAGAAGTTCATCTGAGAATCAAGTGTCCCATTTACTTAACTGTAGCTTACCATGGTTTGAGCCACATAGCACCTTTTGTCAAGTACCAACTGATAATGGGGTTTCTAGGACATTTTGATTTGTCCTTTTTGTTCAGTAGAGTCATTGACTGAGAACAGGTTTAACAATACAGCTTATGTGGTATATTCACAATCAAAGGATAGGTATAAGAGTTTGTGTTGACCATTCGCTGACAGTACAGATATTGTTTAAAATAATGTATGATATGGTCATTAGCAAAGGCTAGAACTGAGAGGTTATGTAGTACAGTCATTGGTAGTTTTATAATGCAGTCATTGGCAGAGGCCAGATATGAGATGTTACATGGTGCAGTCATTGGCAGAGGCCAGATATGAGATGTTACATGGTGCAGTCATTGGCAGAGGACTGGTATGAGATGTTATATGATGCAGTCATTGGCAGAATACAGACCTAAGACATTGCATATTCCAGTATCTGGTAGAGGTTATGTGTGAGAGTAATGTAATACAGTCATTTACAGGGGCTATAGTATTATAGTATGTTATATAGTACAATTATCAATTGTTCAAGTGGTTATCTGGTATAGTGACTGGTCATGGACAGATGTGAGAAGAATATTGGTACAGTAACTGACATATAGATAGACATGAGAGGTGATATAGTACAGTCACTGGTTGTGTACAGGTATGAAGAGTTCTGTAGTACAAGGTGTGAGGGGTTTTGTCATTTAAACATTGGCAGAGGATATGAGGGAATATGATGTAGAGTTATAGTTGTCAGAAGCTGTGTAGTACAGTCAGCAGGACGGGCCTGGTTTTATGGGCAGTATAGTACAGTCACTTTCAGTAGGCATAAGAAGTAATACGTTAATAACAGAGGACAGATATGACATGTTGTGAAGTACAGATATCAGTAGGAATTGGGAAATATAGTACACCGTGCTTCATATTAATTTCCTGAATGTGTGTTTTCTTGCAGTTTTGTTTTATCATCAACTTTAACCATGAAAATCAGAAGCCTTTGGAGCTACGCACAGAGGATTCGAAGGACTGCGATGAGTGGATAACAGCCATCTCACGAGCCAGGTACAGTGTACTTACAAAGTGCTTCTGTACATCTAAGTTGCAGCTCCTAAACATTGTAACAAGGACACTCGACTGTAGTCCAGGAAATTCAAGTAAAACGCAGTTTATTAAAGGGCAAACACAAAGTCTCTGGTCATCCATGGGGTAGCCTTCCCCTGTTCACATAAAGGCCAACATTTCATGCACTTTTCATGATAATCGGCCTTCTTTAGCAAATACAGTCCTTTGTAGCATATACTGTCCTTAGTAGCTTTCCTCAGCTCTAAGGCTCTCAGCACACCTCAGTGTGATACTCACATTGCTCTCCCAGCCGTGGATCACGGACTCTCTCAGCGGTGTCCAACTGGTCCCTTGGGTCACCGACCTTCCTGACCTCTCCCAGCCTCCCCCGGCTGTTCCTTGTGCGTCCAGCATGCACCCGAGTCTCCATGTGTCCGTGTGCCTCCTGCACACACACAACTCCAACACAACTCTCTGAACTCTGGTCCAGACTCCTAATAAGGCCTTGTTCACACCAAGCACGTTCCAAGAGCAGAGCAGTTACAGACCGGAGCAAAACTGCGTCCAATGTATTCCAATGGTATTTTTAGCTCCAGTTCACATCGCAGTGTTCCGTTCCAGAGTAGGTAAAAAAAAACTGCAGCAGGCCCTATTTTACCTGCTCTGGAACGTATGCAAACGCATCAAAAACGCATGCAAACACACTGAAAGACCATTTTAAACTATAAAAAAATATATATATTTATTTTTTTACCAAAAACGGCCCGGAAGCATCAAAAACGCGGCACAACCCACTGCACTGCGTGTGAAGAAACTCATGCAGATCTGCTCTGCATTTGGTGTGAACAAGGCCTAAGGCCCCATTCACACTGAGCGACATGAAAATCGAGCGATTTTGAGCGATATTGCGCGACGAGTGATATTGAGCGACTTGTCGCGCGACTTTTTCCTATTGGGCTCTATGCAATCAGGAGCAATATCGCTCAACATCGCTCGAAAAAAGTGTCATGTAGGAGTGACGAGCTACAAGCGATATTGAGCGATATTGAGCGACAAGATGTGAACAGCTCCATTGAAGTGGATTGGAGAAGCTACATAGAGCGATATCGCGTGGAAATATGAGCGATATCGCTGCAAAAATCGCTCGATAAATCGCTCAGTGTGAATGGGGTCTAAGAGATCTCCTGAGCTCCAGATCCCAGCTACATTTAGGAAAACCTGGAAGGACCTGAAAAGCCAGGCTCTTCCTTATAACATTGTTTACATTTTGGACCCTCTCAGCCCCTTTGGCTGAGAGTCCTGGGTGCCAATGTTGCCATACTACGTTGCGGCATTGCCATGCACTGCCACAACATACTCCACCTACACACACAGCATTCATTCCATATACACTACCAGCTTCCATTCTTTGCACATTTAGATAACATATAATGCAATTAGAGCACCCAGTAAAAAAAAAAAAAAAAGCACAAATGTATGGGCTGCACAGCTCTGTTGCATTTTATTTTGTGAACTTCAGAGACATGTTGTATGTTGGTATGTCTTAAATTTCTTAATTCCAGTAATAAGTATTCATAACATCTATGCTACATATTTTATAGTTTTGGCTAAACTTGACCTCAGTAATCTACCCAGTGGTCCCCAAACTGCGGCCTGCAGGCTGGATGCAGCCCTTTGCTTTCTTTTATCTGGTGCTTTGCTTGCCTTTATCTAGCCCTTAGGGCACTATTCCTCCCACTGATGCCAAGGATGAGGCAATATTTCTTCCATTGACAACAGAGATGGGGCATAACTCCTCTCATTGAAACCAACAATGAGTACAATTCCTCCCACTGTCATAATTGATGGGCCACAATTCCTCCCATTAAAAATCAATAATGGGGCACTTTTTTCCCATTGATACCAATGATGGGGCAATCTTCCCTCCACTGACACCAATGATGAGACATTATTCTTCCTCCCACTTACTACAGGTGCTAGGTCATTTTTTTAATACTAGTGAACACAAGCCTTGGGGCATGTCTTTAATCCTACTGACCACCAAGCCTGACAACTAACACTGGGGCATTTTCTACTCCCACTGGCCACAGTCTAGCTTCCCAAAGGTTTGGAGGACAATAAACTGGCTCTTTGTTTAGAAAGTTTGGGGACCCCTGAACCTAGAAAAACAATCACTCTTAGTCCAAGGGAAAAATGAAAATATTACCTCTAGCATTTTATCAGATAATTTTTTCTCTAAGTAAATGGAACATGGTTGAATGTTTTGGGGAACGGCTGCCTCTATTCACTGTCCAGAGACTACGCATGCAACAAAACTATGATAGAGACAATTTGAAGAGCCCTTCAGTTTAGTGTTCATAGGGTCGCCCATGTGGAAATTGTGCATGTTAAGAATTCTGACTACTGGCCTGTTCACTCACTATTAATTATTTAGGCTCTTTAATGTGCTAAATCTTTAATTAACTGAATCTATTTGTTTTCATTCTTGCATCATTTGTTGCTGTGTTTCTGCTTAATGTCTAAATAGAGTTTGGACTTAGGCTGTACCAATCCTACTAAATTGCAGTTGGGATGCTAGCCCTCTGTAACCTGTATTGAAGCTGCCATAATTACAAGTGTGTACACATCTTCTGGCAAGCAAAACAAACGTATACCTATACCTTACAGGGCACCTTTACCTGCAAATTTGCATGCACATGCATTTACAGCAGCTTAGGTGTATATTTACGAAGGATTCTCCAGCAAATTCACCAGTACATGTTTTATAGCAATGCATCCTTCTGACATTTGTCTAGCATTTCATGGTTGCTTTGGTAAATTTGCACTAGAGGAATGTGACAGCCAGTGAACACCCAACAGGTGTCATATTTACAGTCAGCTGTAAAAGCAGCAGAGGAATTTTTCCAGCTTCAGTTCTCTATAATCCTTAAAAAGCATTAAAAAGGTTAAATATATTATTTATGTGGATTTTTCCTCTAACTTTCAAATATAAACAGCCAGCAAATTGGCATGCCTCCTGCCATGTAGATACCAGCCGCAGTGCTCTTCAGCTAGTGGGTTGCTTTGAGAGTTATATCCCTCCCAAAGCACCAGTGCCCAATGCTGACGGGCACTGGGCTCTTCAGCACCCCTGGCGCCCAGGAGAGGATCCTGGTGGTAAGCGGGGAAACAAGTAGGTGGTAATTGTATTAACACTTGCTTGCCAAGTTCCATTGGTGTCTACTGGCTGCTGTCTCCTAGGAATCCCGGGAGAGGGAACATAATTCCATCTTACCTTACTTTTCAAACTGTATTTGAGAAGTGAGGGGGATCCTGGCACTTGGAGGGTTTGAAGCACCCTGGGAACTATGGGCAGGTACCTCCCCAGAGTTTGCTGTGACATCGCTAGCTATAAGTATTTGATCTTGGGATCTTGTTGTTGGGAGTATCCAAGACATATAAGAAGCCATGGCCTGACTCAACCCAACAGGATACACCTATAACAAAAACAGTTTTTGAAGACTGATCCTTTATTGTACACATCAGTTGTGTTTTTAATGCAAATGTGCATTAGTTCTGTAAAACTATTATCCAGATTATTAGTTATAATCAGTTTTTTGGGGTGTATTCACTTTCTAAAGGTGCCATATATTATTGTTATATTTTTTTTATCTGAAGAGCACAAGAGAGCATGCCCACAATTAAGTTTAGCAGCTTTTGGAGTTTTGGCTTTTTAATATTTCATATTTCATTGCTCTTTCACAAACCGTATTGCTGTACTGCTGTCAGGTATCCCCCTAGTAGCTAAGGAGAAGAAAGTCAACAGATGACAGTAATGCTGTGTGGTGAATAATTCTGTTCATGGGACCCCAGGTATATCTGCATGTTATAAGGTCCCATGCCAAAATCATTAAGGGAATTTCTAGTTCTCCCATGTCCATTGGAAAGACATTCCCACTACCAAGACATGTGCCATCAAACGTAGGCATGCACCAATGACAAGTACCGTACTCGGTACAAGTACAAGCACAGATACTTTTCGAGCTCCAAGACTAGACTAGAGAAAAATTCAAAAGTTAGGAGGCAGCTGTCATTTGTAAGGAGCACACAGAGCTCCTGGGATTTGTACATCTCTGTTTTAATGTATGATTTTGTTTTTATAAATATATATAAAGGGATGCACTGATACCATTTTTGCGAGTACAAGTGCTGATACTTGCCCAAGTACTCACAGATACAAGTACTGATACATTTTTGTTTAGTGTCATGTGACAGTTTTTCTAAAACAATACAGACTAATGATTTCAGGACAGTGGTGGAGCGTCAGAGCCCGGTCCCAGCTGCAATCACTGCAACCCTGGTAGTTCTCATGAAGATGCCAAGTATCGGGACTGGTATCTGAACTGTTATGTGGACATCCCTAAACAAAAATCATTAACACTTCAGCATACTCTTTGCTTTTAACTATATGTTGTTTTCAATTTGATGCAAAATTATTTAACAAAAGCTATTGCTACCTGGATGAATTTTTGAGCATTTAGAGAGTACTGGGCTGTTTGTGCAACCAGGATCTATTCTAGTTATATGGTCAGCTATGCTAAAGTTATGTCATTGCTTTGGAGTTTTGTTTTGATAACATAAGTGGAAATGTCTGTGAAGGTTCTCATTCATCCAGGTCATGGTATATCTGTAAAAAACAAATCAAGGCAACTGGACTTGCTGTATTTTTCTTAAAGACATTTCACTGGACATCTGACCAGCTTTCTCAATTCAGAATGACTTGTGCAAAAATTCACCATATTTATTCCCAGATAATTTTTGTACAAGTTATTCTGAATTGGGAAAGCTGGTCTGATGTCCAGTGAAACGTCTTCAAGACAAATACAGCAAGTCCAGTTGCCTTGGCTTTTGTTTTTACAGATATAAGTGGAAATAAAATTATGGATAACCTGGCTGTATATTTTAGACTCCTAAGCAGCATAAGACTATTGGTATTGTGCCAATGTGAAGTACACAGGAGGAGTCCTGTCGATTCAAGATTTTCCATATCAGACACAATTTATTACCCTACCCACATACATTTTTCAGGTTATATAATGTTATTCAACATACAACTTAACCTTCAAATTACCTCCTGTCATTTAGTAGCTCTCAAACCAATACTATAAGGCCTGTTTCACACCTAGGCATTTTTGAGCAGTTGGAAAAGCATTTTTAGATGCCCAACACAAGAAATCCCATGATTTTCAATGGCCCCTGTACACACCTGAGCAGAAAAACGCCAGCAGGAAAATGCCAAACGCCCGTAAAGGTACATGAGCTTCTTTGGGCAGTTAAAAGCATATTTTTGCACTATAGAATCCAATGGAAACTCCCACAAATGCGCGGCAGAAGCATGTTGCACATTTTTCTTGCGCGTTTAAATGCATGTTTGTTTCATAAGCTGCCAGTCAAAATGCGCGTCTGCATGTACGTGTGTACAAATGTGCACAGTGCGCATAAACGCGCAAATAACCGAAAGCTGAACATGTGCGTACAAAGGTGCAAAAAGGGTGCCGCCGAGGTGTGGGAACCTTGGCCTAAATGCAGCTAAAAGCAGTTAGTCACATTCAACTGGACATTCTCTGTAATGCTTTCTCAGCTCTGAGCTCCTTGCATGGGTGTTGTAATATCATTAACAATACAGAACAAGTCCAGTTGAATATGTCCTGGGTAAATGAGAACCTTCACAGCCAAATACTCTAAATTGGACTTTTTCATCATTACAAGGAGGAACCCTTGAAATAACTGTGAGGTCTAAAGGGAACCACTGATAATAATGATTCATACATAGAACATAGTTTTGATGAATACACGACAGTTTTAATGTCACATGACATCATTTTAAAACATGTAAGACTTAATCTCTACTAATTAATACCTACAGTGTGCTTACATCATCTGTACATCCAACGTTATTAAAGTTTAATTTGGCACAAGGCCAACATGCACACCCTGTAAGACTTAAAGGCCAAGTTTACTACCTTTCTAAACCATGTTTCATGTTACACCCATATTTAGTGTATAACATGAACCATGGTCACATCATAATCTCCCTTCCCTCTTTCCCTTTGAGTGTATGGATAGCCAAAATGTTTCTTTTCAGTAGTGGATAGATTATGAAAAGGTTAAAACCCCTGGCAGGCTATTTTCTGCTATCTGTGCCCCATTGGGGAAATTTCCCTTCCATTTCTTTCCTGGAGACACAAAAGGAAGTAGAAGACGAAATCCTTTCAATCCTTTCAAAAGCAATTTTACACTATGTGCATTTATCCTTTGCACCCCTTTCCAATCTAAAGGTAAACCACACTTCTTTAATTAACTGCATCCTGCAGCAATGACCTCCAAATCCTGTAATTGAAATCTTCTTTCCGCTGTCCGCACCTCCACAGTCAATGAGGTTCAACGGGGCCATCTCTTAAAGGATAAGCGCACATATTGTTTAAGAGATGGCCACCTATAACTAAAATACTGCATTTAGATGAGCGGAGCCTTTAAGGAGAATGTTATGCAATATGAAGCAGCATCACATAATGTGAAAATGTGCTGTGCTCCTGTGACTGATGCTTTGTCTGAGAAGATTATTGGGCTGACAATCAAGAACTTGCATTCTTAAGCCACTCAAGTGTAAAGGAATTAATGCTACAGGCATATCCTTATTTGCCACTCCTAACTTCACCTGTACACCGTTTATGTCAGCAGCTGGAGCAACAAGTTTCTCACTGGACTGCACATAGTGAAGAATTAAGCTTAAAGTTGATTTCCACTTTTGCAGCCAAATTGGGAATAAAACATATTTTAGATTTGTGATATGTTCCCATTCACATAACATAACTTCAACAAAATAAAAATTATTGCTTACTTTTTTAAGTCTTGTTTATTTGCTTGAAAATCCAACCTAGATCCCCCCTATGTAAAATTTAGGAGGGGGCTGTGGAATTCATGTTTACCATAATTAACCCTGTGATTCCAGATCTCATTATCAGTTGTAGACCAGATTTTAACATTGTCTGTCCCTGCATTGTCTGCTGCTTGGCTGGTTAAAATCTAGTCCCGTGCTGCCTGCGTCGGCACCTTACATCCTTCAGACTTGACATTGCTTCTGCAGTTCAGGTAGCCTGTGGGACAGGCATACATGGGCAGTCTGGCACTAGATTTTTACCAGCTGTGATGTAGATATTTTGGGCGGTAAGTGAGGACCTATGGAGGGGAAGACACAAATGATTGCTTCCCTGGCAGTTAGCGTTATGTCTAAGGCCTCATTCACCCGAGAAAAGGCCGCATCGTGCAGCTCCCGGTAAAGACAGGTGCTGCGTGTGATTAGTACGCAGCCCCTGTCTTTCTCTATGGGACTACGCGGCCGTGCGCCGCCCTACGCTCACCCCAAGTGCAGGTGTCCCGGCTCGGACGCAGACAGGATCCATCCTGTCAGTGTATGAGTACGGACACCCGCACCCGTACGGACCTGCACTTGGGGGGAGCGTAGGGCGTCGTACAGCCGAGTAGTCCCATAGTGAAGGACGGGCTGCGTCCTAATCACACGCAGCACCTGTCCTTCCTGGGAGCTGCCTGATACGGCTGTGCACGCAGCACGGAGCTGTACGTGCCGGCCTTTTCTCGTGTGAATGAGGCCTTAGTGTATAAATGTTACAATTATAATATGGTTTCTATTCATAGTTTAGTAATTATGGTGAGCATTCAGGGCTTGTTCACACCAATTGCGGTGTGTTCCAGAGCGGCAGCTGCTGGAATGCAGTGCATTCGCTCACAAAACTTCCCCCTTCGTACTGGGGCGGGAGGGGACGTGGCCGTGCATTGAAGTCAATAGCACCGCAAACACGACCCCCACCCACATGCTGCATGCTCTATTTTTTTCGTTTGCAGTGGACCGGAACGCAGGCAATGTTTTGCCATTGACTTCAATGCACCGCCAATCCCCCTCCCGCCCCAGAACGAAAGGGAAAGTTTTGTGACCGATTGGGGTGCGTGCCAGCAGCTGCCGCTCTGGAACGCACCACAATTGGTATGAACAAGCCCTTAAGGTGCCCATACACCTTACATCCATCGCATGACACCACTAACCCGCCGAAAATCGTACGATTCTCAGCGGGTTTTCAAGCCTGCTCGGGAGACAAGAGCCTTGCGACCTTACAGTAGAAACAGTCGCACGCCTTCCATACACCTGCCGATTGTCGTACGATCGCAGGATCACCCGCAATTATCGTATGATAATCGGCAGGTGTATGGGCACCTTTACAGTCATCCATTGTCACAAGATGGGCAGTGGTTAACACTATCAGTGCTAACATGTCTGCAATTTAATTGCTGATGGTAACAGCATAACAAATAAGGGTAGCACAGTGGCTTAGTGGTTAGCATGCCTGCCTTGTACTTAGTGGTTAGCATGCCTGCCTTGTAGCATTAAGTTTCTTGACTCGAATCCTGTCCAGGATGCTAGCTGCATGGAGTTTGCAAAGTTCTACCTGTGCATTTGTGGGTTTCCTGCAACACTTAAAAGGCATACTGGTAGGTCTAAATTACTGATTGTCTAGATTGGCCCTAGATAGTGTGAGGGGAATTTATCAAAACTGGAGCAGACAAAATCTGGACCTTAGATTGTAAGCTGCTTGTGGGCAGTGACTGATGAGAATGTGCAGTATGTAAAGTGCTGTATAAATCAGGGGTGGAGAAATTAATATAGAATTCAGTAGCCAGCAAGATTTTTTATGAGCTAGCTCCATTGACAACAACTAGAGAAAACCTTAAAAATTAGACGTCAGCTGTCTTTTTTAAGGAGCATTGGCGACCAGGCTCCTGGGATTTGTCTGGCCCTGATATAAATTGTCAGACTATATATAAATTCTTGTAATAAATGAAGTCTTATGAAGATCATGTTTACTGTTAGGGTTACATGTGTAAGTACAGTTCAACTTACTATGTCCATTTCTTTTCTCAGTTACAAGACCCTCGTAACTGAACATGAAGCTCTCATGCAGAAATATTTGCATTTACTGCAAATTGTGGAAACTGAGAAGAAGGTGGCAAAGCAACTGAGGCAGCAAATAGAAGACGGAGAGGTGGAGGTAGAACGTCTTAAAGCCGAGGTGAGACACATTCTGTTACACAAACATCCACAATGGCAGATCCAGCTTGATATTTCTATCTTTGTACATGGACTACCCTCACCCATAGAGATACACTAAAAGTAAACTTCCAGGTCCTGCCAGTAGGAGGCGCACATATAAGTCTGTACATGAAATATGATGATAACAATATGACAATACACATGGAAAATCTGAGATTCGTGGCAGAATTGTTTTCAGGTGAGCCAGATCACCACTGACTCATAGCAGAGGTTCCATTGTTTATACAGCTGCCACTTGAACATGCATCCGGTACATTCGCTGAATGTTTCTGCTGGAGGACAAAGGAGTTTATACATTTGTTGGCAGAGTAAATTCTGGATGTATGATGTAGTATATTGCAATATGAATTTCAGCATGCTTAGGGAGGTTCCATGGTATACAGCCTTAGGGGAAGTTTGAAACCATGTTGTAATTAGTGCATTAGTGGGCAACAGAATGGCTTGCAGCACTGGGGGTCCCTGGTTCAAATCCCGGTCAGGACACTATCTGCAATGAGTTTGCATGTTCTCCCTGTGCTTGTGTGGGTTTCCTCCAGGTACTCCGGTTTCCTCCCACACTCCAAAGACATGTTGGAAGGTAAATTGGCTGCTGTCTAAATTGGCTTTGTATGCATGCGAGATAGACTTTAGATTGTAAGCTCCTTGAGGGCAGGGACTGATGTGAACGTGCAGTATGTAAAGTGCTGCGCAAATTGTTGTAGCTATATAAATACCTGTAATAATAATAATCACGTAAAACCTAACAATGAACTTCTTTTTGCTCCATTTTGATCTGCTAAATATAAAACTGAAATCGTTTTGTTACATCTGTTCGAAAAGTGCAAAAAATATGGGTCCTGCCAGAAATTCAGTGCTATCCTTTGTCCTGTGCATGCTGCAGGCTTATCTCAAGCAGTGTTATCAGCCCTGCCAGTTGACCCCCATGCACTACAGAACAACTCCTTCCTATGTTATTGAGAGGAGGGCGGGAGTGTTGTTTTGCCACCCTAGGAAAGGAAGTGTGTTACTGACGGGATCATCAGATGAAAATAAAGGGAAAAGCCTTTTTTAACACACACATTTAAGTACAGATTCAGCTGTGTCCCATAATGGACGCAAGCCACTGAAGTTCCCTTGTAGTAGCGTGAGCACCTCCCCACCTGCATCCATGGCGGCACATTACACTTTACCATTGATGTATATTTCACTCATTTGCAGTTCAGTCTCCTTTGTTTTGGGTGTCATAGCTGTGAATGCTTTGTGCAGAGATAAATAGGAGTAGGACTTAGTGTCATTGGGATGTGATGTCTTGGTCACAGCTGCTGACACTTTGATGTGATAATGAGAATTATTTGATATTAAAGGCCAAGAATCTGAATATTTATGAATGTTAGAGTTGTGCTTTTCATAAACAACATCTACATTAACCCTCTATACCCTGGAAGGCTGTATCCTGCTCCATTATTTCTGATCTTACCACAGTGCCACCTGGCGGCTGCTCCGTGTGACACCACTCCTGGGGACACCCCTGGTTGGCACCACTCTATGGAGGAGCAATGGAGTCACCCTTGGACAGCAGCATTGTCACCCTGTTGTAGGGTAATGTTAGAGATGCTGCAGCAGATTTGGATGGACTTCACTAACAAATGAAATCTGACCTCCAAGTAACACTTTTAATCATTTGCAGCAAAAGTTTATTTTCCTTTTTGGATAAAGGTTTTATATAATTGAACAAATGTTGATCATTGTAAGCCCCCCGTTAGCGTTCAATGGCCACTTTTGCTGGATCGCTTGGTCTGTTGAAGCAGAACTCCGTGGAAATGTTTTATTAACCCTCGCAGTGGAGCTACCCCCGCACTGCACGGATCATGTGCTCGGTTTAGTCTAGGGAGGAAAATAACAAAGCTATACTCACCCAAGCCGACCAGCTATGACATTGCTGCCTCCCGCCAGTATCCTCCTATGCTGCAGCATTGGGATGTTTCTCAGTGTCCTCACGTCCTATACAAAGTGATGATTTATGAGGCCTTGTACCCATAATTTTAAAATTTCCTCCCTAGACACAAAGAGCACTTGCAGTGCGGGGGTAGCCCCACTGGAAGGGTTAATAATAATTTTCCCCCGGAGTCCTTCTTTAAAGGAAGAAGGAAAATAACAGACTTGCTGGCCAGATCTCCAGGTGAAAATAAAAGAAAAAAGCCTAAATAAAGAAAACGAATGCAGCCACCATATCTAAGTATTGGTAAGCTGGCATATATAAATTTTTTTAATTTGGCGTTTAGATACGATTGCTGTGCGTTCCAGCAGCTAGCACTCTGAAACGCACTGGAATTGGTGTGAACAAGCCCTAAATGCATAAAATTTGAAACGATAGGAACTTCGTTTGCATATGGTCTGGCACTGGCCTAAGAGAGAAATATTACCGCAGTAAATAATTTCCACTGTGTTCTCATTCCTGATTATTTCTTACAGATTGCGTCATTACTGAAAGATAACGAGCGTATCCAATCAACAACAAGCAATGCTCAAAATGAAGACACTGACATTAGGAAGATAAAGAAGGTAACAGTATTTTCAGCTGTTTGTCACTATGTTTAGCTATATAGCTTTCCAGCCATCACAATACCTTCAGGGGATGATTACTAAAGTGTTTGCGCAGCGTATAGCGGGACGGTGACATTCGCAGCTCATTACTGCCACTAGATAGAGCTGAGGAGCAAAGGATTTTCCTATGCTCCTTGGCTCCTTCGCTGTGAACGTCATTTGCCCAGCTTTAAGGGGGGTAAACGCTTTATAGATCAGCTCCTTAACATCATTAGTCAGTTTGTAACCTGTTCCAATATGTGTCTTCTTCACAGGTACAAAGCTTCCTGCGTGGATGGCTATGTCGGCGGAAGTGGAAAAGTATAATCCAGGATTACTCGAGGTCTCCCCATGCCGACAGCATGCGCAAGAGAAACCAGGTTGTGTTCAGCATGCTAGAAGCAGAATCGGAATATGTTCAGCAGTTGCATATTTTGGTCAACAACTTTCTGCGTCCTCTGCGCATGGCGGCTAGCTCCAAGAAGCCATCAATCACCCATGATGATGTCAGCAGCATTTTCCTGAACAGGTGGAGATACTTGCAGCATTGGTTGGGGACCTTGTTGAAAAACAGAACAGTTTTAGAGCGTATGAATGTATTTGTTCTCTGTCAACACTGGGTGTATTTTATCTTTTATATAGTTAGTTATAGGTAATCGGAGATAGGTAAGGGAGACTAAAACTGAAAGTGGGCCTTCACCCTCCCCACCCACCTTCCCCTTGTTGCACTTCTAGTGCCCTTCTTTCTCAAAATCAAACAATTTATTTTTTTCCAAAAATACCTTTTTCTTCAGGACCTCTCCTAGGATTCCCACCTAGGTGACAATGATGTCCAAGCCTCCTGGAATACTGGTGTCAGGAAGCCTTGGGGTGCTTTATGGCATATGTGGCACTGCGTGTCATCAGGGGACCAGCTGACTCTTGCAGCCGGCCCCCTGATGACACACCGATGTGCATGGGCTTCATCAGGGGGCTGCTGCAAGAACCCAGAAGAGACAGCTGGGTCTCTCATGACACACCGAGGTGCATGGGCTTCATCAGGGAGCCCAGTGCAAGAACACAGAATAGACAGCTGGGTCTCTCATGACATGACACAATGAGGTGCATGGGCTTCATCAGGGGGCCTGCTGCAAGAGCACAGAAGAGACAGCTGGGTCTCATGACATGACACACTGAGGTGCATGGGCTTCATCAGGGGGCTGCTGCAAGAACCCAGAAGAGACAGCTGGGTCTCTCATGACACACCGAGGTGCATGGGCTTCATCAGGGGGCTGCTGCAAGAACCCAGAAGAGACAGCTGGGTCTCATGACATGACACACTGAGGTGCATGGGCTTCATCAGGGAGCCTGCTGCAAGAACAATGAAGAGACCACTGGGTCTCTCATGACATGACACAATGAGGTGCATGGGCTTCATCAGGGGGCCTGCAGCAAGAACGCAGAAGAAACAGCTGGGTCTCTCATGACATGACACAATGAGGTGCATGGGCTTCATCAGGGGGCCTACAGCAAGAACCCAGAAGAGACAGCTGGGTCTCTCATGACATGACACACTGAGGTGCATGGGCTTCATCAGGGGGCCTGCTGCAAGAATACAGAAGAAACAGCTGGGTCTCTGATGACACACCGAGGAGCATGGGCTTTATCAGGGGGCCTGCTGCAAGAACCCAGATTACACAGCTGGGTCTCTCATGACACATTGAGGTGCATGGGCTTCATCAGGGGGCCTGCTGCAAGAACCCAGAAGAGACAGCTGGGTCTCTCATGACACACCGAGGAGCATGGGCTTTATCAGGGGGCCTGCTGCAAGAACACAGAAGAAACAGCTGGGTCTCTCATGACACACCAAGGTGCATGCGCTTTATCTGGGGGCCTGACAAAAATGTATATTAAGGGGCGATGATCCTGTGTGCTGTAAAATGTATGTTCCTTGTAATAATCTGCACATAATTTGAGTTTACAGATTATAGTAGAAGTAGTTTACAGATTGTCACATGCTTGTGTCTGTGTGTGTCATATTGAGATTTGTAGCCATTAGAGCAGTGGTTCTCAACCTTTCTAGGGCCGGGACCCCTTGGTAACATTTGCCAAGTTGTGGTGACCCCCAACTCCAGAATTAGTAACGCGCTGGACTTGGGACTAAAAATAGAAGCACACTCACAAGAATACAAGCCCTCCCCAGCCCCTGCTACCTGCTTGCCTGCTCTGTCTCCATGCAGCAGAATAGGAAAGCCCCGCTGTACACACTCCCCGGCCACTAGATGTCGCTGCAGCGGCCAGGAAGTGTGTATAGCGGCACTTTTATATTCACAGCCTCTGCTGTCCTCCCGCTGACTGACACTGCTGCGCTAGGAGGAGGCTGAGGAGCCTCCCACCTAGCACAGCAGAAGTGGATGCTGCGACCCCCTCAACAGTGAGTTGGGACCCACTTTTGGGTCACGACCCACAGGTTGAGAACCGCTGTATTAGAGGATGCACCATTGTGTCTGTCAGCAGCATCAGCATGCTTACTAATAGGGTTGCACAGATACCAAGTACAGTACTCGGTACAAGTACGAGTACATGTACCGATACTTTTGAGCTCCAAGACTACACTATAGAAAAATTCAAAAATTATGAGGCAGCTGTCATTTGTAAGGAGCACACGGAGCTCCTGGGATTTGTACATCTCTGTTTTAATGTTTTTATAAATATAAATAAAAGGATGCACAGATACCAGTTTTGCGAGTACGAGTACTGGTACTTGCCGAGTACTTACAAGTACGAGTACTGATACATTTTTGTTTATTGTCATGTGACAGTTTTTCTAAAACAATATCGACTAATGATTTCAGGACAGTGGTGGAGTGCCAGAGCCAGGTCCCAGCTGCAACCGCTGCAACCCTGGTAGTTCTCATGAAAATGCCAAGTATCTGCACTGGTACTCGAAAAGTATCTGTGCAACTCTACTTACTAATTACACTGCCACAAGAAAATCAATTTCAGGAATGGCACCTGTTGAGTGTAATGCATTCCATGCAGCATGAGATGGTACAAGATAAAAAGACTTTCTGATGGCTTTCAGATAATCACTTTGTTGTAACATTGTGGTGGTCAACTGTGACCACTGTGCTGTGCAGGGCTGGTCAAATCTCAGTGCCCAGGAAGCCTATGCTTCTTATAAATTACAGCCTACACCTAGTTTTTAAAGTTTTCCTTCTAGTTGTTGTCAATAGAGCTGGCCCCTTAAAGAAAATCCTGCTTGCTCCTTGATTAGACAGACTTATTCCTGAATTCCATATTAATGTTTCCACTCCTTCTTTAAGGGCTTGTTCACACCATATCCAGATCATGTCCAGACCAGAACAGTTTGTTCCAGGACCAAAAAAGCATCCCAATGTATCCCCATGGTATTTCTGGGCTCCGTTCACACCAGCGCAGTCTGTTCCGGTCGAGACAAAAAACAGAATACTGCTTGCCTCATTTTCTCTGGTCTGGAATGCACTGGAACACATGGAAATGGATCACAAACGCACTGGAACGCACCTGTAGGCCCATTTTAAGCTAAAAAACATTGCGGTAAAAACGCGGCAAAACTCAATGCACCGCGTTTCCGATCTGGTCCGGAAAATGGTGTGATCCTGTCCTAAAGGATGTACAGCATGTATTTTAGAAAAAGCAAGAATGGTATATACCAGGGGTAGGTAACTTCAGGATTCCAGCTGTTGTGGAACTACAAGTCCCAAAAGACATTATAAGAGTGACAGCCTCAGAGGCACGATGTGGTTTGTAGTTACACCACAGCTGGAGTGCCAAGGTTGCCTACCCTTGATCTATACAAAATACAATTAAGTAATATTATTTACAATTTAAAATATTCTGAGCTTATCAGCATTGAAAATATTGGAGTAAATCCGGGGTCCACAAAAGTATGAGAAATGGAAGATCATTTTCTTTATTTCTTTATATATCAGAAACAATCAGAACAGGTGCAATTACAGACATTGGAACCATAAAAGTACGAATATTCTAAGTGCCTGGAAATCGATGACTACAGGTATAATCTTATGAGAGTCATAGAATCTAAATCGGGCATTTTATACAAAGATTCTAGAAGATCTGGGGAATAAAGAGGTGTTGCAGATGGAGTAGATAAGGAGAGGCTGTAGTGGTAGTTGAGGGTAGGTAAAGGGTAGGGTGGAGGGAGAGCGAAACAAGGGGGAAGATAAGGGATATGGAAGGAGCAATGGATTGATCAATTTGTTCCAATAAGGGCACACAGTGTAAAGCTGGCCATACACTTTACAACCCTCGCAAGACTTTTGTCTTGCGAGGGTTGTAAAGTAACTTAAAAAATGTAAGATCTGCCCATCATGGACAGGCAGATCGTACTTGAAGATCGTCCGCACACCGGCCCGTTCGGCAGTTGTCGAACAAGCACGCCACTAACCCGCCGAGAATCGCACGATTCTCGACGGGTTTTCCAGCCTGCTTGTTCGACGGAAGACGTGCGACCGTACAGTAGAAACGGTTGCACGCCTTCCGTACACTGCGCGATTATCATACGATAATCGTACAGTGTATGGGCACCTTAACAGAGAAAAAGTCAAACTACATTCGCAATTTCAGAAACGGATTTGGAAAATTGAATCCATGCGTCACTTCTTTTATGGAATAGGGTCTGTGAATTCAATCTATATGCAGTAAGTCGTTCGTAGTGACAATTGGAGGAAACTTTATGAAAATTTTTAGATATGGATATTGGGAGAATGCTAATTGCGGGCTATAAGGATCCTAGCTGAAAATAAAATATGCATGACAACAGATCTATATTGAGGAGGATATTTATCAACAGAAATACTTAAAGGAGAACTATGAGGTGAGTGCTTTTCACTCACCTCATAGTTCTAGCCGACTTGTGACAATGAGACTGTCACAGGTTGGCTCAGTAGATCGGGAGGTGAGCGAACACATACCGGCGTTCACTCACCTCTCGATCCTGTCACGGCTCTCTGCCGTGACGGGAGGTGCTGGATTCCCCCCGTTCCGATCCGCCAGAGCTGACTGGCGGAACGGACGGGGGGGCGGGTACAGCTGGCTCTGCCTCTAGATAGGCAGAGCCAGGTGTCAGTCACGCAGCTGGGCAGATCCAGACATAATTGTCGGGATCCGCTTCAGCTGCGGCGTCTTAGTATACTGCGAGCAGCAGCTCGCGGTATACTGTGGCGTCTCAGTATACCGCGAGCTACAGCTCGCGGTATACTGAGCCTAGGGTGACGGGAGGACGCTAGTTTGTGTCCTCCCGTTACCCTAAGGAGAACTATGGGGAAAAGCCTTAACCCCATAGTTCTCCTTTAAGAGTGCCGTCTCAGGCAATAGTGAGAAATTGATGCCTGAAGATTTGGTCAGGAGCCTAGAAATTGAGTGCCAAAAACCTGGTAATCGTCTACAAAACCAAAAAACATGAGGTAAACTACCCACTTGGCCGCAATTTCACCAGCAAAGGGGGGAAGATGTTGGGTATATTTTTGATAATCTATATGGGGTGAGATACCACCTAGTAAGGATTTTCGGGGCGTTGTCCCAATGATCGATGCACCATGAGTGCCAATTCCCATTGTCGGTCTGAAATTTTGTACCATCAGATTTGTATAGTGTTTGGGCAGCGTTGGCATTAGTGCTTCGCTAAGGGCAAACAATATCCATTTATATAACCCTTTTCTTTTACAGTGAGACCATCATGTTTTTGCACCAGATCTTTTATCAGGGCCTGAAGGCTCGGATCTCCAGCTGGCCCACACTGGTGTTGGGTGAGGAATTGTCTTTTTCTCTGATACATGTTTCTGAATCTCTGTATGACTCTTGTCACTGCTGTCACACTGCTGCCAGTAATCCGGTAATTGATTACACATCGGTCTCCTCACTGTCTTTTCAGCGGATCTGTTTGACATCCTCCTGCCGATGTTGAACATTTACCAAGAGTTTGTACGGAACCATCAGTACAGCCTGCAGATCCTGGCACACTGCAAGCAAAATCGAGACTTTGATAAACTATTGAAACAATATGAAGCCAAACCAGACTGTGAGGAGCGAACTCTGGAGACCTTCCTCACCTACCCCATGTTCCAGGTCTGTAGAGTATAAGACGAAGAAACTGCAATTTATATCCCCTTTTATTGTGTGACATAAAATCTAGGTTCAGCAAACGCCTAAAGCTGGCCATACACCCTTAGATTTTCATACAAGCACTCGTATGAAATATCTCATCAGAAGATTTAATTACGCCATCAGAGACTTGATGAATATCGTTCAGATTTTTGCTTTGATTTTAACTAGGGATGCACCGATGCTATTATAGGTATCGGTTCCGATACCAATTATTTGGGCCAGTACTCGTCCAAATGCTCCGATACTTATCCCAATACCAGAGCTTCTCCCTCTGACCGGCAGTGCCGCGAGGGAACATGGAGCCAGCTTCCTGGCCAATCAGGAAGCCGGGCCACGCGTAATGACTCACGGCCTGGCTTCCTGATTGGCTGGGAAGCCAGCTCCATGCTGTTTGGTCCGGGAAGCCGACTAAATAGCATGGAGACGGTTTCCCAAGCAATTAAGAAGCCGGGCAGGGGGTAATGACACACTGACCAGCTTCCTGATTGCACAGGAAGCTGGTTCCATGCTAGCGGAAGTACCGGTATCTGTATTCGGCAAGTACCGAAATATAAATATCAGTACTCGTAGTTGATACAGAGGAAATGGTATCGGTGCATCCCTACTTGTAACATTGTATTTTGGAATGAATGTATTTTTTGAGCAAAAGCCAAATTCACTGTTAGAATTTCATTTGTTAAAAAAAAATATTTCATCCTTCTCCTTCAATTTTTTTTTCACTGCTGTCCAAATTGATTGTTGATTTGAGCCCATTGACTGTTAGAGAATTGAATGAAAGTTCTGAAAATGAATTATTTGAACAAAATTCTACTGGGGTATGGCCAGCTTTGGTATAATTTTATTAAAGTAGCAGTAAACTCTTAAACTTTTTTCCCAAAAATGAATCCAGAGCACAAAAATATACATCACCCAGCAAAGTATTTCTTTATATTTTTGCCCAAGGACTTACAGTCATCATGTTTCCAAACAGCTCCAACTCTCGGCTTCCCTGAACTTCCTGTCCGGTACAAGATCACAAGGGACAGAGCAATCTCTGGGAGCTCTCCATCTACTAGCTGGGAGAAGGGAGGAAGGAGCAGTGGGGAGGAGAGGAGAGGCTTGTCTTGCTGTGCCTGTATATTTGTAGAGACACACAGCTTACTTGCACATACAAGGGTGGCTCCATAGGACCCTGCAAGGGAAATGAACCACCCTAAAACAGGATATCAGGGCCAGTGCTCAGGGGACTAGCTGATCCTATGGAACCACCCCTGTGTGTGCTATTAAGCTGTGTGTGTCTCCACATAGACACAGCAAGGCAAGACACTTCCCTCCCCCTCCGCTCTTCTCCCTTTTTCAAGCTAGCACATTGACAGCTCCTAGAGACTGCTTTGTCCCTTGTGACCTTATATGTTACAGAAAGTTCAGGGAAGCCAAGCTGAGAGTTGGAGCTGTTTGGAAACATGATGATCTGTAAGTGCTTGGGCAAAAAAAAAGAGAAATACTTTGCTGGGTAATGTATATTTGTTTGATCTGGATTCATTATCGAACACAAAATTTGAGAGTTTGAATACTACTTTAATAACAATGTCAGCCATCATGCCTTTTATTCCAAATCCAGACTGTACCAGCCAAACAGCTCGGTGGGAGCTTCAGCTTCAACATAAACAACTGCTTTAACAAATCCCTTTAGAATATGGACAAGTAAAATAAACCCCCCTACACACCACTAAGCCCCATAACCATCAAATCCATAAACAATTATGTGTAGCCCAAGGGTCTAGTTGGAGCTGAATGCATTGTGGATTTTGTTGATTGATGACTAACACTGTCTTCCTTTTCTAGATTCCTCGCTATATCCTGACTCTGCATGAGCTGCTCGCTCACACTCCTCATGAACACGTAGAACGTAACAGCCTAGAATATGCCAAATCCAAGCTGGAGGAGCTGTCAAGGTGAGATTGCCAAATTGTAATTATGTCCCAGGGCAGCCACCAATGCCAGTTGCCAAAGGGTGCCACCAGATGGTATGGGGTGCGGTTAGGGTGGTGTGAAGGCGAGGTTGATTGGAATACCAATAGTTGTATTTTTGAGGGGGTGCCACGGGCTGGTTTTCAGCTACAGCTTAAAACCCAATGCCAAGTATTAGCACCCTGTGCTACAGATTGTGTGCATCATTGTAACAGTTTTAGTTACATGTGTTACAGTGAAACTGCTGGTATGTCAGGGAAGAGTGCTGGAGGGTTACATGCTAAAAAGATGATGCATACAATTCTCTCCTGTGTACATGGGAAACACTGTGGTCAATTTTAAGGGTAGCTCCATGGTCTTGTGTAATTGAACAAGGAAATTCCCTATTCATGCCCATGTGACGGGACTGCTCTTCTAATGGTAGTAAAACACTGTAAAGAAAACTTTACGTATAATTTTTATACATAAATCTCAGAAGAGTCCTATAATACATAATAATACATAATACCTTTTATCTGCTGATTACCTGGACATTAACTTCACTGGCTAACTGACCGAATATTGGCTGGTCCAAGGCTATAGTAGCCTCAAGTGGGTACATCTGATGAGTCAGTCCTAACAGCAGCAATAATGTGTACACAGCTTGATAACTGAACCATATATTAAGATGCTGTTTCTTCTTTTAGAATAATGCATGATGAAGTCAGCGAAACAGAAAATATCCGGAAGAATCTGGCTATCGAGAGGATGATTGTCGAGGGCTGTGAGATTTTGCTGGATACCAGTCAGACCTTTGTACGGCAAGGTATGACAGCGTGTGTGTATATAATATATATGGTCGGAATCACTCATTATTCCCCCAGGGTAACCCTAAAATAGACTGGCTCTCACCTGAACCTTAAATCAAGGAAGTATTATTGAGTTGTTTTTGGCAACTCGGAGCCAACGACCTTTGGCTCCCATTACTTTTGAAGCTGAACTAATGCAGTACTGCATTATGGCCACTGGATGAAGCTGAAGAGCATAGGAAATAAATACTTATTTCCTATAAAGAGGTATCACAATACATTTGACCTGAAAAGAAAATATTCTAAAAATGTTCATTTTTGCCTCTATTCACACAGAAAAAACCTTCACAGAGATTCGGAGTGTGAATAGCTCTGTAAATTGTTTATACAGACCCCTAAGTGTGGTTATTCCTTTTATGAGTTGCAGTTTTGTTTTATGTTACAGGCTTAAAAACTCTCTTGCATATAGCATTTGGGGAAACTAATTCTTAATTGAAATCGAGTGAAAGGAAAATATTTTAAATGTTTAAAGCAATCGTGGTTACATTTTAAGGGTGTGGGTTTTTAATCATGACTGTCAGCTAGGAGACTTGTGTTTAGCGTGTGGGCAGTGCATTTACCTATCTAATGATCTAACTTCTCCAGGCTGCCTGATTCAAGTGCCCATGTCAGAGAAGAGCAGGGCAACAAGAGGGCGATTAGGGTCCCTTTCGCTGAAAAAGGAAGGAGAGCGTCAGTGCTTCTTATTCTCCAAACACCTGCTGATCTGCACTCGCAGCTCTGGAGGGAAGCTGCACCTCACAAAGGTAAGTGCAGACATCATCTTCCAGATTAGACCCAACAAAAGGAGTGGATATTGCTTTGTTACATTTTATGTTTTTTTAAAGAATAATTCAGGTCTCTGCTCTCAAAGAAAAACTACCTGTCTACCCGTCCATTTCAGTGTGTTGGGCCCTTCAGTATCAAGCTGGCTAGCTGACAGTGTTTTCCTTAATTCCCAGCTTCTTTCAAACTTAGCATGAATATAAATGACACACAAAACTGTTCCACAACTGTTCCAGACTGCCTTATAGACCTTCTGTACAATGCTCTTTGCTGTGGCAGGCAATATTGTACTTTCCCATTTATCTTTATAGAGCTTGTAGTCACACCCTAGTGTGGATCAATTTTATTGAAAAGCGGCAAAGATAAAATAATACTCACAAGAGTAGATCACAAAGGAGCTTTCAAAATCCAAGGATTTGTGATCTACCATTTTGAACGCTCCTTTGTGATCTACTCTTGTGAGTATTATTTTATCTTTGCCGCTTTTCAATACAATTGATCCACACTAGGGTAGGCGCCCCTTGTCTTTTGTTCTCTTCCCAGATACCACAGTCTTCCTGGCTGAAGTGGGGCAGCGACCCGTAGCACCCACATGTGAGCCCTTTAGTGGAGTGGTCACCTCTGGTGCTTTTTCATTCTTGTAGTCACACCCGCACACTGATGTAAATGCTGGCCAGGGCAGCAGAGAGCTGGACAGTGTAATGTGAATCAACATTTTTAAGTGATAATAAAGTCAAAGTATTTTTTAAGATATTTCAAATGTTGATGAAATCCTTTACAATGGATGCTGCTTCTTGATGTTAAAATATTTTACTTTCCTACAGAATCAGCTTGACACCTGAGCACTGGCACAGATATCCTGTTATAGGGGGGATATCCTGTTTCTAGGTGCCCCCCTTCACATCAGAGCCCCCTCTTTTGACATCTAAGTCCCCTATTTAACTTTAGGAGACTCCTCTTTTTTACATCTAAGCCCCCCTCTTTGACATCAGAAGCCCACTCCATTCACATCACAGCCCCCTCTTTTTACATCTGAGTCCCCCTCTTTAACATCAGGAGCCTAGTCCATTCACATCAGAGTTCCCTCTTTCACACTAGGATCCACAATCTCGATCCTCGTTCTACATTCTCTATAATATAAAATAAACTTCAGCATTGGCAATTGCCACTGAAATAGCCATGAGATAAAAGAATCTGGAGCATCAATCAGCTGATGAGCTTATGCAAAATACAGAGTGACACTTTAAGCACATCTCTATAAAACTATTTAGGGGAGAACAGTTTTGTATTGAAATATCCCTTGGTTACACATCTGGATCAACACACTGCGGACCAAATGCAAATTATAAGTGTCCTGTTTCTCCTTGAAGAAGACAAGGGATGCAGAATACTAGAATAAAGCCATTATTTCCCATAATACCATCTTTGTCATCTGAGCTCTGTGTTTAATATTAGTGGTCACTGACCAATAACTGCTGTGATTGGTTACTAGCTTCTGCTACTTTGTTATGCTTGCTAATTATTATTATACAGGATTTATATAGCGCCAACAGTATGTGCAATGCTTTACAAAATATGGATATTAGTATGGTCAATAGCATGCTCATGAAGTGACAGTGAATAGCACACTGGCTTGTGCTTCAAGAAAGCAGGTGATCTACTGTATGTAGTCATAATGATGTGAAATGATGTGATGTAATGATGTGAAAATGTTCTGGGTGTTTTGATTTGTAGACTTGGGTGCAGGCAGGAAGACGTTTAACACAGCGGTGGAGGTGGGAAAATAAGCAGCTACCAGGAAGCTTGATAGACATGAAGTCTGTCTCCAGTATCACAGTATCTCAGCTTTGAGTACTTCCAACTAGTAGACTTTCAGAGATCACATTTTATATCCTAACAATGACATTTCAGATGCTGCCACACTTAGGTCTGTTCATTGTTTAAAGCAGAACTCCAAGCAAATTGTAACACTTGCACTGGGCTACTCCCGCACTACAAGGTTTAGTTGCTCGTTTTGTCTTTTCAGCATATGCAATGTCATGATTAAGATATAAAAGGAGCTGCTTTAACCATTGTATTTATCTGTTATGTCTGCATGTTTTTAGTTCAGTGATCCCACAGGTTCCTCATCACTTTGATAAATAGACATCTTTTAAATACTCTGTTTGTTTCCCCTTTAGAATGGGGTGGTATCCTTGATGGACTGCACATTACTGGAAGATCAAGAGGAGGATGAGAGTTAGTATATATAGTCTGAATCCATATGTTGTATTCACATAAATGCATGTTAGACCAAGTGCTTCTGTTTCATTGCATACTGTACATGAGGCCAAAACCTTGACCCTCTGAAGCTGTGGTAAAAATACAAATCTCAGTAGGCATTGCAAGACTCTGACAGCGACAGGGATTTGTTTTTTCACCACAGCTGGAGGACTGAAGTTAGGTTACCCCTGATATGCATAGTAACATGTACTGTTGTCTCCCAATGCAGATAGACAAGATGGAGATCACTTGGACTTCAAGATCTCAGTGGAACCCAAAGACTCTGCTCCCTTTGTTGTCATCCTGATGGCATCTTCCAGGCAGGAGAAAGCAGCTTGGACCAGTGACATCAGCCAGGTCACAACTGTGTCATCACTTTGCAATCACCTTGCCTCCATAATCATCACAACATCATTGAGTCTTCATGGTATACCCTCTGTCATATTGTTGTCAATTTTATAGATTAGTACATAATATGAGTAGTGTAGTGTATATATACCAGCATTCATGGCCCCTATAGACTATGCCTTGCATTGATGCAAGTCAGTTAACATAATGCATTATAATGTATTAAGGTGTGCTTTGTTAAGGCAACCCCTTCATTTTGAATAGGCTGGAAGCACACTTTAATACAAAAAAAAAAGGACATGATCCCTTTTTTTTCATACAGCGCACTAAAATGATTGGCTCACTGAGCTAGAAAGAGTCCAGCGGAGGGCAACCAAACTAATTAAGGGGATGGAGGACCAAAGCTATGAGACAAGGCTACTAAATTTAAATATGTTCACGCTGGAAGTAAGGAGATTAAGGGGGGACATGTTTTCATGTACAAGATGTTCAATGGAGATAGTAACATCAGTAACAAACTCTTTACGGTTAACTCCATAACAAAGACTAGAGGCCACCACCTAAAATTGGTGGAGAAAAAATTTCAGCACAAGGGGCAAAAGGGGTTCTTCTCAGTTAGAGCAGTTAGGGTCTGGAACTCGCTGCCACAAGCAGTGATTTCAGCTAAGAGTGCTGAATCATTCAAAAAGCTTTTGGACGATTTCCTTAGAGATCATAGCATACCGGGGTACAGGTACACTTAAGAACAAGATCACACATGGACTCATACACACGCAAACACCTGCAAAATCACATACATACACAAAATAGGATGGACTTGTGTCTTTATTCAACCTCAAATACTATGTAACTATGTAAGGGCAGGTGCATTGCCCGGTATGGGAAAGCGCGTTCAAAATGAATGATTCTAATGAATTTTGATTCTAATGAATGATTCTGCAACACACCATGGTTCATGCACTGCAGTAAAGCATGTTACTGCAATGCAAAGGTGGGAATTCGACTTCAGAACATCAAAATAATGATGTAACTGAAAGGACATACAGTATATTAAATTTATTAATAACTTGTCAGCCATAGTTTAGTCTGTATGTCCCAGTTTTTGTCCATCAGTTCCCATTACCTGTATACGTGAGTTTTGGAGTAATATATGAAATAATTTTCCATCTGCACTATACTATTATAGATATTAAGATTAACCTCAAAATTCAGTGAATGTTACACATGCAAGAGACCTGTGCATTTATGTGGTCACTCATATCCCTGAGAATCTTAATATTCTTACAGTTAATGACATGGGGTAACCCATATACCTCAACCTCTGATACTCTGTCGTTTCTTCGTGTTCCGTGGTTCTTTTTCCCTTATCTTTCCACTGTACACATGCATAACACTCTTAACCCTGTTTGTGCAGTTTGAACTTTGGTTCTGTATCTTTTGCTTGTAATTTCTGCTTTTTGGTTCATATTTCATATTCTGAGCTGCGGTATAACTAGGGGAGGCCACTAGGTCATTTGCCCACAAAAAGGGGAGCAATATCATCGTAGGGTAAAAATAGAAAGACCTATTTCCAAAATTTTGTGAGAATGACAAGTGAATGTGATTTTTAACATTACTACATTTCTTCCAGAATAGTTATTATTTTTAGAAAATACACAATGGATAGGAAACATGGTAAACCTCCTTGTTACAACTCAAGCCACATTCATTGTTCTGAAAATCTTCTCCATCATCTTTTATTCCGCTGCTGCTTATTTTCATCTTTATTTTTTTCACTTTTTTATGGTAAATATGTTGTTGGGTATCCTGTTCAAGGTACTGCATATAACTTTATACAACATGAAAGACAATATTATGTCAGTTTAAATGGCATTGCTGTGCAGACATGTATCAACTGTACAGCTAGCCATAGTAATATTTTCTATCACTGTCGCCATTATTAGTAGCAGGAAAATAAAATTAAGGTGATTCCTGGTATTAGCAAGCTGCATACTGTATATTTTAACATAGGCATTCGGATAAGGTGATATTAGTTCACTACATCTGTGGAAGGTTGTTGCATTATCCCGAATTTCTGGATGCTCATAGGTGTTCATTGGGTGCCAAATATTCTTCAATAATCTGTACGCTGAATTTCCATCTAATTTAATGATCAGTGCATGCATCCTGACCGGGTGTTAGGTCCGCGGTGTGGGCCCGAGATGATGAGGAGGACCTCCCTTGCAACCCTGTCTGATGAGCACTGGGTTCATTTGTCCTTTTTGTTTATCTGTGTACGCCATACTTTACTCAAACATCTGACTCTTCTCTACAGTGTGTGGACAACATCCGCTGTAATGGACTCATGATGAACGCCTTTGAAGAGAACTCCAAAGTCAGCGTACCCCAGATGATCAAGTAAGTTAACAAGAAAATGTATTACATTTTATGTCATGTACTGGAATTGCAAATACTCCACGCCCCACTTGTGCCTGTTCATGCCACGTGTCATAATTCTTTTTGCAGCTGTGATGTTACATTGGTGATAGTTTTAATAAACCAGATGATAAATATGATATTATATTTTTCATAACATGTTAAAAAAACAAAAGAAAGCAAAATCACAAGCATTTTTGTAGACCTTAGAAGAACAAATGGCAAAGGAGTAAAAAAAAAAAAGAAAACTATTGGGAATCTTTGGATTAATATGTTGACGGTGGATTTTAACTTCAGATTCGTGATTTGCTCTGGGCTTTCTTTTTAAATCATCTTAGGTTTTATAATTTTGTAATTTTTCACACCAGAGACCTGGTTCACCTGGTACATGCTGCATGTTTTAATGTTGGCATATGTTTCTTCACTGAACTCAGAATGGAGTGGAAGTCTATCCTAGAGAGTGTGTGAATGAACAAATAACTTTCCTGTGGCTGGAGAGGACTCTGGATCTTAAGCTGGCCATATACTAAGAGAACGCAGGCTGAATGAAAAAAAAAAAATCTAACAGATTCCTCCATCCACGCTAAACAGCCTGCCGCTGTCAGGATAAATGAACAGTGACTGGCTGCAGTCACTGTTTGCCCAATAGTTTTCAGCCTGGCTTGCTCAGTTGACTTTTGTCAAGCTGGCAGGGCCACATACTGTAAGGATTTCAGCCAAATCCTGTGAATTCCTGAATATGGCCAACCCAAGCCCAGGCTATCTACAGAGTCGGAATTCTGTCCAAGTCAGCACTATGTCTTGCGCCCTCCTGGTTTTAATCTCCTCTTCTTCCCCATCATTTAAGACTGCGGTGCTACTTATATGCTGTACAGGTCACTGAGGTCCTGGCACTGGGCTGTTAAATATTGGAGTTGGAGCTTAGTCCTGGTCCTTAGTGGGCCTTAATGCCAAATGGAGGACCTCCCCAGACACACAAATTAATATTATTATTATACAGGATGTATATAGCGCTAACAGTTTGTGTAGCATTTTACAATATGAGAAAGACATTTTAGTTACAATACAATTTAAGACGAGATAGTTAGGAGGGCCCTGCCTATAAGAGCTTACTATCTAAAAGGGAGGTGAAAGTGATACAAAAGTGGTAGCTGCATGGGAATGAGTTGTTTGAGAGAATAGTTCAGTTGTTACACAGAGGTGGGATAGGCTTCTCTGAAGAGGCAAGCTTTCAGGGATTAAGGCAGACAGAGTAGGAGATGGCCAGAAAGGCTGGGGTAGGGAACTCCTGAGGATGGGAGAGACTCTAGAAGAGTTCTGGAGGTGTGCATAGAAGGAGGTGATGAGGGAGCTAAAGAGCAGGAGGTCTTGGGAGGAGCGGAGATGATGGTTAGGGTGATAGTTTGAGACAAGGTTGGAGATATAGCTGGGGGCAGAGTTGTGGACTGATTTGCAAAGACAAAGTTGTGGTGTCTTTACTTTAAAGGTATTGTTGCTTTACGCACACTGTAGGACATGGCAGGTTATTTTCAGCACATTCAACAACTACATTAAAACAGCATTTGTGATTTGCAAGTGTAAATGATGCCTTGTGTTTGTGTGAATCATCATAATGTGCATTTTTCACAGGTCAGACAGCACTTTATATTGTGATGACATTGACATACGGTTCAGTAAGACAATGAACTCCTGCAAGGTCCTCCAGATACGCTACGCAAGTGTTGAACGCCTACTGGAACGTCTCACCGATCTGCGCTTTTTAAGTATCGACTTCCTCAACACGTTCTTGCACTCTTACCGGGTCTTCACCTGTGCAGATATTGTACTAGACAAGCTTATCGCTATCTACAGGAAACCAGTCAGTGCCATTCCAGCCAGGTGGGAAGCTAAATTAAAGATTAAATTGTTTTTGTGGGAAAATAGTGATCATCCAGAAATATCCAGCCCTGTTGACTACTATTGGTGTTTTTGGACCAATCCTGCCAAAATCATTAAGAATGGGTAGTGACCACCTAATGTTATTTTATTTGCATTCTTGTATACTGTTTCAATGCATGTTGGATAGTAATCTATCTGCCAGCAACATATTCTTTGTTCATTATTTTCTTTACAACTGCTTTTCTGCTCATATTTTTAACCACATGACTATGGATAGATACTGACACATGATATATGACACATGTTCTTTGAAGATTTTTGTTTATTTATTTAATAAGGTTCATGTATGACACGCCTTTTATGACACCTGCTGACACATTTTATAACGTACTATAAGTTTTTACACAAATATTTATTATATATACACTGTTTCACGATTGCTTGACACGGAGGTGACACCATATGATCCCTACCGTTATCTAATTTCCTGAAGGGCATTTAGCGCTGTACACTTCATTACACCTATGGATAGATACTGAATAGCATCTAGTCTGAGACAAAATTAGTGGAGAAAAGATTAAACCACAAAGGGCGTAGGTGCTTCTTTTCAGTTAGAGCGGTTACATTTTGGAACTCGCTTCCACAAGCAGTGGTATCAGCTGAGAGTATTGAATCATTCAAATATCATTTAGATACCTTCCTCAGAGACCGTAATATACAGGGGTACAGGTACTCTTTAAATCTAGACCACACAGGGACTCATATATACACACGCACAATCACACACAGACACACAATCCCTCCAACTTGATGGACTGATGGACCGGTGTCTTTATTCAGCCTCAAATACTATGTAACTATACAACACTTCTAGAACCATGGCAGTTAATTTGCTTTTGTGCACACACCATGAAAGTCTTGCTGCCTCAGTTTCAGATAGGGATAGGCATACCTATAGAGACATGTAGAGATATGTATACCAGAGTTATGACAGTGGGGCTGTCTTTGTGTAGACCACCTTCTTTATCAAAGGGGCAGTAGAAGACAGAGTGATTTGTAGAACAAGCACCATAATCCATACAGGCCTAGTTGTAGTTGAGATGGCTACAAAGCATTGTTTCTGTATGACTAGTTCTAGAGCATTTCCACTCAACCTTGATCCCAAAGTTATATCTTTTTCAACATTTGCATGCAGCAGTGAGACTAGGATAACACCACTTATTGTATTGTTTGTCTTTTTCTCAGGTCTTTGGAGCTTCTTTTTGCAAGTAATCAAAATAATAAACTTCTGTATGGTGAACCCCCTAAATCACCCAGAGCTACACGCAAGTTCTCCTCTCCACCACCCCTGTCCATCACCAAGTCCTCATCGCCCAGCCGTAGACGCAAACTTTCACTCAATATTCCTATCATTACTGGTGGAAAAGCACTGGACCTTGCTGCCCTGGGATGTTCTCCAAATGGATCCTCAAGTGCCTGCCCTGCTCCTCCTCCATACAGCAAAACCACTTTGGACATCAATAAACTTTACGTGTCAGGGAGCTTCCCTAGCAAAGTAGGAGAGGGAGAGGAGCCACCTGCAGAGAAGGATGAGGAGCCAGTAACACAGAGACAAAGTAAGGATAAGAATGAATCATACAACTGAACTGATAATGTAATTCGGTGTCTCTTTTGATTTGAACTGCTGATGTAGTCTCAACCTTTTCACCCTAAGCGGTATTTAATATTACAAGACAAGGTATGTGCAGGATTTTAAAGTATCCAATGTGCTTAATGAGAAGTTATTCAGAATTTGCTCATGGCGAAAGGCGTATTCATTAATACAGGATGGACGGCATATCTGCACATTAGCGCACACTTACCTTACAAGTGTGTTCTTCTCCAGCACTGTCAAATACATCTTTAGTCCCTCGATCAGTCCCTTATTGCTGCTTTCTCCGCCGCTGACACGTCGAGGTTCCCAAGCATCCTCTTTGGCCATTGAGTGGCAACTGATGATGCAACTCTTGTGCTTGCGCACAGGAGTTACATCTTCCTCGGCATCAGGCCCGTTCACAGTATCTTAGAGATTACATAAATTGTCTGAGTGTGTTCACTGCACAACACACGAACAGTATACACACAAAATAAAAAATTGTGGGGCGAGAGAGGAAGAATTTTTTTTTGACAGAAAAGCCTTTGCATGTTTCTTCTGCCAAATATCCCTACTTCAGCGCCATTTTTTATTTTTGTCACTTTACTTCCACTTTAAACTATAGGTATGATACCACTGGTAACGGCTCTCTTGCAGCCAACCTTTCCTACCTTGCACAGATACAGCTGCTCCTGGAATATTCAGATTCTGACACTTCTTGGTGTGTAGGATGCCTGCGTCTCCCCACTGTGTGCTGTGGTTCTACCCCCTTGCTGTTAAGTTACCAGTTGCTCCATTCAGAGCTGCAGGGACACTCCAGTGACGTAGCAATTAGTGCAGCAGTATTGAGATACAGGTACCCAACACATCAAGAACAACTCCAGGCAAACGTTTTCTTAACCCTTGCAGTAAGGCCACCCCCGTACTGCAAGGGTTAATTGCTCGTTTGTGTCCCGGTGCAAATAAAAAGTTATACTCGCTTAAACCTTGCAGCCAGCTGGCTGTTACAGCGTCGCTCCCTCCAGCCTGTCTCTTCCTCCACTGCAGCAAAGGTGTGTCCCTATGTGTCCTCATGTCCTATACACACTGTATAGAAGGTGATGGCTCAGACTTCTGCAGCAAAGGGGGAGAGGGGTTCCAGGGACTGATCTAAGAGCAAGCCAACTCTGAGGATCAGGTAAGTATAACTATGTTATTTTTGCACCTAGACACAAACGAGCAACTAACCCTTGCTGTGCAGAGGTAGCTGCTGCACTGCAAGGATAAAGAAAAAGTTTTCCCAGAGTTCTGCTTTAACAAACCATTAGTGACAGGGTCACTTTGTAGCTGAACTCCAGGTAAGCATGGTTGAAGTATGTAAACTGATCTCCCTGCCAAAGGATTTGCAATTGCGTTCAGTCTGCCACATGCCATAGCCAGGTTGGTGACATTGCTGTTTCATGGTTTAGTTTTGGAGTTTCTTGTGTCACCTGATTAATTAATGGACAGAAGTTATCATGCTAAGTTATCATCTCATAATTAGGCTAGAGGCAAAGGGGTGGCATGGAAAGCCATAAAACTGAAAGAGGGCAGCTGATGTCACCTGTACAATTTGGCAGAGGTGTGTGTGAATCACAAGGCTGGCAAAACAGAATAGCAAATCATTTCACAGTTACTACAGCTAGTGTAAAAGTATTTTGCCTGTGTACTCAGCCATTGGCCTGGAGTTATGATTTAAATATTAGCATCTCATGGATTAAAACTGACCATTAACACGGTTATTCACAAAAGGGTGAAGAGTTTGGAGAAGGCAGGAGAAGTGAACAATCTAGGACAACATAGCTGAACTGGAAAGTGAGCTGAATTGGAGGATTTTTCCAATTCAGTTATGTTGTCCTAGATTGTTCACTTCTCCTGCCTTCTCCAAACTCTTCACCTTTCTGTGAATAACCCTGTAGATGTCTTTGTATGAGATATGAAGGTGACCTATTTGTTACACATCTGGCTATAGGGCTTTGTTTTCTACTGTTACACACAGTCCTTACAGCACAGGGTTGGTCCAAGCACTGCATGGCGGGAGGGCTAACCAATTGTTATCCAGATATTGATTTCTATTTCTTTATATTTCACAGACTCAGAAGTTTCCTGCCGAGCAGAATCGGACACTGAACAGACACAAAGTGATGAAGCTGAGAATGACACGTCTCCAACTCGATCACCGACTACGCCAATCTCTCAGCGCGGCCGCAACTCTGCGGGTGAGTAAGACGTTTCTTTCTATCTGCCCTACATTTCCACAGCCTATGAAAAAATCAAATCCACTCAACACACTCTTCTTATGGATAGTTGAACTCCAAGAGAAGCAAATATTGTTTAAATACAAGAACCGTGTGTATTCTAATTGGAATCTTGGTGAGCTTTGTGTTAGGGATGCACCGATACCGGTATTTTGGTACCGAGTACGAGTACCGATAATTTTTTCACGGCACTCGCCGATACCAATTACCGAGTAACGGAAGTCCCATTCAGGAAGCCAGGTGGCGTGTAATGACTCGCCACCTGGCTTCCTGATTAGCTGGGAAGCCGGGCAGCGTGTAAAGACTCGCCACCCGGCTTCCCGATTAACAAGAAAGTCACCTCTTACCTTGGTATGTCCAGCCTGTCACCCCCGAGGCCTCTCCAGCCAGAATGCGGCCTTCCTCCGATACACAGCCGGAGCCGTCTGGCCGGCCAATCAGGAAGACGGGCGCCGTGTAGTGACGCGACGCCCTGCTTTCTGATTGGACGGGAGGCCGGCTCCATGCTCCCTCGTCAAGAGATGACGAGGGAGCATGAAGCCAGCTTCCCGGCCAATCAGAATGCCTGGCGCTGCGTCATTACACGGCACCCGGCTTCCTGATTGGCCAGCTTCCCGACCAATCAGGAAGCCGGGCAGCTCGTCATTACATGCTGCCCGCTTTCCTGATTGGCCGCGAAGCGGCTCCATGCTCTCTCGTCACTTGTGACGAGAGAGCATGGAGCCGACTTCCCGATACTGCTTCCTGATACAGGGCATTGGAGCATTTGGGCGAGTACGAGTACTCGGCCAAATACTCGGCATCGGCATAAAGGCATAGGAATAAAACTTGGGAAATTTGCATATTTTGAAGAGATGTATTAAACACACACACACATACATATACAGTATACAGTATGTGTGTGTGTATTTTGTTTTTGACTTGGTGTACGCTTTAATCTGTAGATGCATGATGTGGATATTGAACATTTTGCTCATTTTTACATTACAAATTCTATTACAGATTTCACACTCTTCTCCTATAATAACGGCATTGTGATGACATCCTGCCGAGAGCACGACAGTAGCCGCAGCAACTTATCGGCAGCCTCTGCTTTTGCTATAGCAACTGCAGGAGCGAACGAGGGTACTCCCACCAAGGAGACATACAGACGAATGTCTTTGGCAACAGCAGGTAGGAACAGAGACCTGACTTTGGTTTCTAAATAGTCAGGCATATTTGCAACAACTAATCGATTAAATCGATTATAATCGATGATTAGAATCGTTGGCAACGATTCTCATCATTGATTAGTTGCTTTTCGATTAGTTGCAGCCGCCGCTCTGCTCCTCAGCTCTCCTCCCCGCTGGTGCTGGCTGCATCAGTCTGTGTCCTTTTAAATCCTTGCTGATCTCCCCGCCTGTGTCGGCAAAGGCAGCGGGGACACAGACCACTGCAGCCAGAACCAGCAGGGAGGAGAGACCGCTGTAACTCTGCAAGCCCCCTCCCCCACCTCAGCAGCCGCTCCGTGTCTCCTCTTCCATGGCCCCTGTTTCCTCTTCCCTGACCCATTCTTCCTCTGCCCGGTGCCGTTCCTCCTCTGCCCACCCCCGTTCTGCCTCAGCCCACGCCACTGTTTAGCCTCGCCCCCCGTGCCGCTTTAGCCTCGCCCCTCATGTGGCTTTAGCCCCACCCAGTGGCACTTTAGACCCGCCCCCATTGCAACTAGAGGCTGGGAGCCATACCCAGCCTGCTATTGGATATTTTAAAATGCAATAGCCAATAGCAGGCTGTCTATTGCACCTGCTCACTGCTTGCTGTCAATCAGCAGATGAGGACCTGGTGGAGAACTTTCTCCTCCGTGTCCCTCCCCTGCTGATTGACAGCAGGCAGTGGGCGGGTGCAATAGCATACCGTTTTATTCTGAAGTAAACTTTATGTCTGTAAAGCTGCATTTGTGTATTTTATTTTAAACAAATGACGGTATTATTTTTTTAATCCTATCCGATTAATCGAAGTTAATAATTGGCTAACTAATCGATTATGAAAATAATCCTTAGCTGCAGCCCTAATATTTAAAGCAGAACTCCAGGCAGATATAAAACACTGGAATTAAAGCAGCTCAGTTTTTGTTAATATGTCATGACATGTTGACATGTATTTTTTGCATGTAAGCAGTGTAGGCACCTAAATTTGTCCGTGTATTAGCCCTAGTGTAATGCCCTGTACAACAGGCTTCAGACTGGGTGAGAGAGAAGCAGCACAAGGAGCCAATCACTTGTGCTGCAGTGTTCATGTGTGAGTATGCTGATAGGAGGAAAGAGGAGAGTGACAGAGAAATGAGCTCACCAGTCTGCAAATTCTCCATTCACTGTCCAATCACAGTCTGGGGAGGGAGAAACCCTGTAAGTGTTACCTAACTGGAGCAGCATGAACTATCCTGTTATAACATTATAGGAATACATACTAGAGTTGTTTTTCATAATGCAATCAAAGCTTAGTTATACTAATCCCTTTTATGTAGTGAGTGCTGCCTTCCGTCTGCCCATCACTATAACCAACTTCCTGGATTCCCAGTGGGCTTTGCGTCTTTTTCCCTGCTGCTTGATGTGATGCAATCTCCATTTCTGAAGCCTATATATCCCATCATGCATTGCTTCCAGCAAGCAATGATAATGTTACATTGTTCAGACTCTGAGTTGCAGTTCAGAAGGCAGGCACTGTGAGAGTGGTGACACAAGGCACAGCATATTCACAGGGCTGGGTGGAATTGTGCCCGTGCATTGAGGAAGTACATTCTATGGGCATCTTCAGTAAGTAAGTTTACAGACTTCTGGATGGATATGATTATTATGTTGTAAGTAGGTTTTAGTTGGCGTGTATTAGAGCAATAAAGAACGAGGAGAGCAAGATTTCACACCCCAAATTGATTGACTAGAAATAAATGCAAGGAGTAGATTCCACCTTAAGGTATGCAATTACCGAAAGGGGAGGGGCCTTTAAGAAATGCTATAAACTCTCCAATTGTATAAAAAATATGAATTTGTTCATTACATAATTGGAAATGAACAAAGTTGAAACATAATTGGTCTATTTCGCATGCAGTAGATGTCACATCAAGTCAACAATAATTATTAAAATAAGGCATAAAAGAGAACTCATTCAGATAAAACCCGACATGTTTCGCCCTACTGGGCTTCTTCAGGGGAATTTATATATCCTAAATGGGAGAGAGCCCATGTGAGGCAAAATGTAGACTGCATTAATATATAAAACAGACATATATAGACACACATTATGGTATCATGAATATTAGCAATCTTACATGGAGGAGTCCAAAAGGACTGTCAGTCGACACCACTACATGAAGTGGAGGGGGCCAAGTGTTTTCAGGTGTGTTTTCCCTCTATTCGAATAAAATTAGTCACGCATGGGAATCGTGTCAGGAGAGCAAGGCAGCAACAACAATCGAGGGCAACAGAAAAAGAGATTTGTATTGAACAGGCACAAATAGGGATATGATTATTAGGTAGGGGAGAGAACTTGTAGAAATTATAGAAATACAGATTTATTTTTATTTTTTCACCATAGATCCCCTGTAATAAAATAAATAAATATATACATATGTAATGACTACTTACAGAGCGCAGCATTCCATCACAGCCAGATTTCAGGGCACTGCTGTTAAGTGAGGAATAAGATCCAATATGATTGGTTACCTTCAGTGACTACACAGTGAGTGTGGTGCTTCATGTATTGCAGTGTATAGATGTCATTTACAATTAGAGGAGCCACGACCCGGTGTTCAGTGGGTCGCCGCATGCCTTACACTTTTCTAGGTGAGAGGCTCTTCAGCCTCCCCCTAGCACAGCACTGTCCGTTCTCACACTGAGCAGCCATTCAAAATATGCTGCTCGGCACCGAGTGTAAGCTTAAGATGTGGTGGGTTGGGGGTATGGCAGCGTGGGAGCTCCATCCATACATACATATTGCTTATAGATCCCTCGCTTGTCCTATAGAGGTACCTGGACCAGAGTAACATCACATTCTGGCTCCCGGCACCTCTACAGGCATGCATGGGAGCTGTACAAGCAATGCACATATGGATGGAGCTCTATCACAGCACAGCAGCTCACAATGCCGTGCGTTCCATTGCAGTGCGACTTGGGTCGTGATTTAATGACCGAGGACAAATGTGGTCCTAAGGTTACACAAGTTGAGAACCACTGATCTATGGGACGGGGTTGATCATTTCATCTACCCACGGAGAAGAAGAAAGAGGGAACTGACTGTGTATGGGGTCACTTCTGTCCATCCGATGAATTGTAACTTCTGCGGGTCTCTCCACCAATTGTTACTGGTCAGTGGCCACTCTTAAGCTGGCTATAAACTTAGCGATTGTCACTCAGTGGGTGACCCTGTGTTCTGGCTCACACTCCCATTGCAAAAATCAAAGGAGCCAGGCAGAAAATTGTCAGTTGAACAGCCCCTGCTGCCAATCAGATAAAGGTACTGTTTAGGTATTTGGACAGACGGCATTAGCAACTGTCAAAATACACTAGCCCCAGCGAGAGATTCCTCCATCCTCACCAAACCGCATGGATGGAGGAATTTCCTGCTGCGGCTAGTGTATTTTGACAGTTGTCCATGCCAGCTGTCAAAATACCTAAACAGTGTCTGCATCTGATTGGATGCAGGCAGTGTTTAACATTTTTTCCGCCCAGTTAGATTTTTTCCATTCAGTCCGAAAACTGAACAAAAAAAATCTAACATTGTATACCCAACTTAACTTTCAGGATGAACACGGAGCTGTGAGATCCATCCTGTAGGAGCCTGTAGAGAAAAAGGAGTTAGCTGCATGTCAAGGGTCTTGTGACTCCTCTGTGCATCTCCTCATCTCCACCCCTCAGGTTTATAAAGATGCAAAATGGCCCACATATCCATTGGTAAACAAAAAAGGAAAAATGTGAATGTACATGTCTGTACCTATTGCATTGTGGTGTTGGCCATTTCTCTTGGTGCCTGGTACCCTGAGGCAAATGTACTAGCAGGGCCACTGATAGGGGAGTACAGGCAGTACTCATGCACTGGCCCTGATGGGGCCCTGGCCCAGCAGGGGCTGCCTGTCACACTTCTTTGAACTGTATTACTTTGTCTAATATTTATACTATAGGGTTCTATATATAGGATACTTATTTTCCAAAAAGTGACAGTTATTTTTTTGCGGAGACCAATAAGATTTGACAATGATAGTCACATGACTAAGATAAAGATACTTACCCTTGTGTTAAAGCTTTGTGAATTCAGCCTATTGTTTGATAACGTCAGAGGCGTCCCGAGGCGGAGTGACAACTTGCAGTGACGTCATCGCGTACGCGCTTGATGATGTCACACCGCTGTTACCTGCCGGCGGCCATCTTGGTGATGGACGCCGGCAGAGGTATGCCGCCGGGTCCCCTCCTCTCTCGAGCAGAGGGCGTGACACCAAAATAATTGTCAGTCATTTTGGTGCCACCCCTCCAAAGGTGTCCCCCGGGTGCGGGCCGCACCCCCCTTGTGACGCCACAGGATAATGCTTAGAAATATAGTGGCATTTCATTATGTTATGTGGTAGGGGGCCCTGTCAGGTTGACTGTAATGTCGGCCCTGTGTGCAAGAGTGTTGTATGGTAAACCTAGCCCGGGACCAATCCAACCATGTGCATCAGACTTTATCGTACAATGTGTTCTTATTGTTATTCTGATGCCTATCAATAAAGTATTTCCAAAGTGTATAGTAGATTTTATGATTTATCCCATACGATTTGTATTTTCTTCATAAACATGATGTACTATTCAGTTTGATCATTATGTAGTTATGTAACATCCTAGTCATCTTTATCCTATGCAGGGTTCCCATCAGATCAGAGAAATGGAGACAAGGAATTTGTCATCAGAAGAGCAGCCACGAACCGTGTGCTAAATGTCCTGAGACATTGGGTATCCAAACATGCTCAGGTACCCTCCGTCCAGCTTTCAGGACATGCGGTCATTTGACATGTTGTATAATGTATGTCGTGCAGTGACCCAGTAAAATAGTTTGCTATTATCTCATTGGTTTTTGTGTTCTTAGTGGGGTATGCGATTAGGAATTGTTCAGTTTTCCTCATGTCTAGCAGGGTTATTCACTAAAGGGTGAAGAGTTTGGAGAAGGCAGGAGAAGTGAACAATCTAGGACAACATAGCTGAACTGGAAAGTGAGCTGAATTGGAGAATTTTTCCAGTTCAGCTTTGTTGGCCTAGATTGTTCACTTCTCCTGCCTTCTATTGGTTTTTGTGTTCTTAGTGGGGTATGCGATTAGGAATTGTTCAGTTTTCCTCATGTCTAGCAGGGTTATTCACTAAAGGGTGAAGAGTTTGGAGAAGGCAGGAGAAGTGAACAATCTAGGACAACATAGCTGAACTGGAAAGTGAGCTGAATTGGAGAATTTTTCCAGTTCAGCTTTGTTGGCCTAGATTGTTCACTTCTCCTGCCTTCTCCAAACTCTTCACCCTTTTGTGAATAAACCTGTATATGTATGCAACAAAGCCTCCCTACAATAAAATTATGTTATGCTAGTTTTTGATGCCTGGAGTACAGTGCTGCTAATTGTTAGTAGCAGATCTCTTACAGGGATCTGACATTTTAAACCCCAACACTAAACCTGTCAACATTAACCCCTAAAACCCTAACATTTACCCTAAGGCCTTGTTCACACCAAGCGCGGAGCAGGTGCAGAGCAGTTACAGACCGGAGCAAAACTGCGTCCAATGTATTCCAATGGTATTTTTAGCTCCAGTTCACATCGCAGCGTTCAGTTCCAGAGCAGGTAAAAAAAACTGCAACAGGCCCTATTTTACCTGCTCTGGAACGCATGCAAATGCATCAAAAATGCCTTGAATGCACTGAAAGCCCTTTTTAAACGAACGTTTACAAAAAAATTTTTTTTACCAAAAACGGCCTGGAACGTGGCAAAAACGCGGCACAACCCACTGCACAGCGTGTGCAGAAACTCATGCAGATCTGCTCTGCATTTGGTGTGAACAAGGCCTTAAAGTGACACTAAACTCAGGAGTTAAATCTTAAAAATGCTTTCATGCACCTTAGCTGTTAACAGAAATGTATCTTATTTGTGTATCACTCGGCTGTAGATCCTCAAATCATCTCTGAATTGGTGCTTACTCATTTGTATTGAGATTGTAGTCCATCCCAGGAGCGAGCTTGGACTGGTGGCTACTTTACAACACACACAGGGATCATGGAGAACAAAAGTAGCCCCCTCCAGAAGGAAGGACCGTGTCAGCACCAATTCAGAGATGATTTGAGGATCTACAGCCGAGTGATACACAAATAAGATACATTGATGTTAACAGTTAGTATGTAGTTAGTTGAATGTATTTTTAAGATTTAACTCCTGAGTTTAGTGTCACTTTAAGGCTGGGTTCACACCATTTTCCGGACCAGATCTGGAACGTAGGGCACTGCGTTTTTACCATGATTTTGCCGCTATTGGAATTTTTTTGTTTTTATTTATTTATTTTTAGCTTGAAAAGGTCTTACAGGTGTGTTCCATGCAATTTTGATATGTTTTGATGTGTTCCAGTGCATTGCAGACCAAACAAAATAGGACAAGCAGTTTTTTCTGGTCTGGAACGAACTGCGCTGGTTGGAACAGAGGCCAGAAATAGCATAGGGATACATTGGGATGCATTTTGGGTCCGGAAACGGTCTGGTCTGGGAGGTAATCTGGATGTGGTGTGAATGAGCCCTTAATCCCTAATTAGAACCCTTTCCTAACCTCTGACATTAGTTAACCTCTGCAAACACGCACTCATGTACATTGTCAGGGGTCATAACTATCATCCCCCCAAAAAATGATTTTTTTCTGTGCCCAAATACCAGGGAGCAACAGGCACTGCATATAGCCTCCCATAGCAGTCAGTGGCTCTAAGCTGGTACACACCTGTACTTGCATACAGCTGCATTTTTGTACGGACGTAAATCCCTGGGCGCAGGTTTTCTGTGTCCAGGGATTTATGTATATAAACACACACAGCTGAATGCAAGTACCAGTATATACCCACAGCCATGTACAGCCATTGACTTCTAATTTTTGCCATTGTGCTAATTAATGATATTGACCTAGTTAGAACTAATTAACCATGTTCTAATTTTTTTTTTTTAATGCCTTTAATTAATTATATCAATTGCCCTTTTATAGCTTTAATTTTTGTAAATTGAACTGCTATGTCTAGTAGTGGAAATGAATGTCTTTTGAAGAACAGCTATATAACAATTAAATGTGACCTCCACACTCAACATTTAGGGAGATCTGGGGACCTCCTGATTAAAAGGGTTTTCTACTTCCAGTCCTCCTGTTCCTTAATACCATACCTTATCCAAAGTGCAATTCCAGGGATTCCAGATTGCATTTACAGCGCCATCTGCATGTGAAAATCAGTATAGCAGCTTATTTGCAGAACATAGCAGTAGCACTTTTGCTAGGTCTATAAAAAATATTAAAGTGTCACCAGGGAGTCCAGTCTTTTACTTAGTGAAAAGATTTCGATTAAGGACTTTGTAAACCAATATATCAACAAAATTTGGTCTTAATAGAGAAAAGACCAGACAGAAGTCACATTAATGAACAAAATCTATTATATGAAAAATATATGCTTTATGCAAAATTAAAAAAAATGTATAATTCCTTCACCTCGTCCACATGTTCTTCTAAGTTAAAAATGACAACATTGTCTTCATTCGGACACACATTCATACAACACCCCTTTTCCTCCCCTCAGATGGCTTTATATTAAAGGAGAACTATGGGGTCAGGGCTTTTCTCCATAGTTACATAGTATTTGGGGTTGAAAAAGACATACGTCCATCAAGTCCAACCCATATAATAGTTCTCCTAAGGGTAACGGGAGGACACAAACTAGCGTCACCCTAAGCTCAGTATACCGCGAGCTACAGCTCACGATATACTGAGAGGCCGCACCCGGGACGGATCCCGACATCACTGTCGAGATCCACCCAGCAATGGGATTGACAGCGGGCTCTGCCATCTAGAGGCAGAGCCGGCTGTGCCCGCCCTCGTCCGTTCGCTGGAGGATCGGAGCGGGGAGGGGGGAATTCCCTCCAGGGATCTGTGAGTGACAGTCACGGCTCTCTGCAGGGATAGATCGAGAAGTGAGCGAGCGAAGCTATGTGTTCACTCACTTCCTGATCTATGGAGCTGACCTGTGACAGTTTCATTGTCACAGGTCGGCTAGAACTATGAGGCTGAGTGATTTTCACTCGCCTCATAGTTCTCCTTTAAGTAATGACTCGCCACCTGGCTTCCTGATTAGCCAGGAAGCCGGGCAGCGTGTAAAGACTCGCCACCCGGCTTCCCGATTAGCAGGGAAGCCAACCAATGCTTCTCGTCACTAGGTGATGAGAAAGCTTGGAGCCGGCTTTCTGGCCAACCAGGAAGCTGGGGCGCTGCGTCATTACACAGCGCCCCGCTTCCTGATTGGCCGTGAAGCCTGCTCCATGCTCCCTCATCATGAGGTGACGAGGGAGCATGAAGCTGGCTTCCCCACCAATCAGAAAGCAGGGCGCCATGTCAATACACGGCGCCTGGCTTCCTGATTGGCCAGCTTCCGACCAGTCAGGAAGCCAGGCAGCCGTGGCATTACAT